CAGCTAAATGCTTCAAATTTCTAACTAAAGAATTTTCAAATTAAAGGTGCGATGCAATCTTACGTTTTGCTTCTGTTTATTTAATAATAGCTGGCAGTGAATGAAAAGCACTTTGGCTGTGGTATCAGGCACTCTGTTTCTCAAATAGAGAGAAACTGAGTCATGGAGCTGAAGTGACCCGTGCAAAGTCAGCCACCCCAGCCGGGAGCAGAGCAAAGTGCTGTGCCATCTGTAGAAAAGGGAGAAGCAAGCAACATTAATGTGAATATTAAAAAGCATTTAATGCAAAGATCAATTTAATCACTTACGTATTTGAAACAGTCCATCTAAAGAAATATTTGGAGTTTTTACAGAGTTATGCTGCTAATAGTAGAAACAAAACTGAAAACTAGCTCTATGCTTTTGAATGAAACAGCTTTCCGTGTCCTTAAAGCGTGTTCCCGATTTATTAATTGGTGTGTTGCTTATGCATATGGCTATACTGACCCTTGTAAATGTGTGAAAGTGTATTTATGTGACTCAAGGGGTTTCTTGGTTGGGAGGGTGTTTTTTGAGAAAGACAAGTAGATTATTCTTTCTGGAAGTTTTTTGGTACTGGAGATGCCTTGTAATTAGATAGGAGTGTAAGACATAGTCAGAATTGCCAAGGCTCTTCACCCTTCTGCCACTTACGTATTTCACTTGGACCTTTAGTTTCTCATAGAACAGAGCAAAGGGATGTAAAACTAGTTGGAGCCATGTGTTTTGCTCTCGGGGTTTATAGCTATGCTATGTAAAAGAGAGTAGAAAAAGTAAATGTATTGATACTGAGCCAGATTTTTCTTGAGCTATGCAAGCAGCCTTAAGCTGTCTCTGAACACAGCAGCTTTGATTTAAACAAAAAAAAAAGAAACAAAACCAACCACACAACAACCAACCAACTAAAACAACAAAATCTTCCTGTCTCTCCTCCCCTGCTCCTTTCCTTTTGCCAGGTCCCCCATACATGCAGAGTGGCCAGCAAAAAGGGGACACTAACTGGGCTCCTCCTTGGGGGAGTTAAACAGAGCCCAGCTTGAGCGGGGTTTAAAAGGTGGCTTTAAACTGCTATTTTACTGCAGCACTTTGAACTGGGTTACAGCGATTTAACAAGCTGCTTGAGGCCAGACTGTAACAGATGTCCACAGAGATGTCCGTGTTGTCACTGGATCGCTCTTGGTCCCTAAGCAAATGTTTTCATGAAGTTCCTTGGTTGCACCCTCGTCCGGAGTAAATCCGAGTTTCTTCATCACGGAATTGTTGGCTCAACTGAATACAAAGCTCTTGCTAGGGTGTAGTTTACAAATACAGAGTAAACCTGTATGAGAACCATGGCACTATAGGTCAAAGGCAGCAGTATCGGGATCTGTGCACATCCACACGCGTTGGTGCTTGTAGTGAAAAATATGAGAGGCACCAAAACAGTATCGGCATGGTACTGGCGGTTCAGTTTTGGGCTTCTGAAACCCTCCGCTGTAGTGTTCAGCGGTATTGGTGGAAGGTTCTGAGAAAGAGATGCAGAAGAGGAATTCTAATATGATAGTTTGACAGTATTATGTCATTTTGAGAAACCCCAGATGAATTTTGAGGTCTAGTAGTAGTTTCACGTGATCTTGTTGCAAGAATCTGGAGTTCCAGCTCGGTTGAATGGGTATGAAATAGGCAAAACAGCTGGAAGCAGAGCGGGTTGCCGTTGAACCAGGCTGCGCTGGAAGCTGTTTTGCCCAGCAGTTGTGAATTGCTCGGTACGAAGGGGCCAGTTGCAGAGTGCTGGTGACAGGGATGCCTATGGTCGGGTGTGGGGAGGGTCCCTGGGGGAAATCCCACAAACTTGAGCCCAAACAGCGTTGAAGTCCCAACAGGTGCCCGGTGTTCAGCCGTGGTGAGGCTCTGCGCTTCTACCTGGTGTCCGTAATGGTGGTAATGGAGCACTACTCAAAATTACAAGGTATAGGCATTAATCCCATCCAGTCTCTTCCCAGCTGTCAGTCACTGCCGCTGCTAGTGGGATTCTCAAGTACTCTGCCTGCTAGGTGTCTTGCCCATATCTCAAGGGAAGTAGTTTCTGTTACGTGGCCGGTTTTTGTTCAGCATTTCTCCCTGCCCCTGGATTTGCAGATTCTTTGCCCAGTGCAGTAATGACCAGAGCCTATGCAAGGTAAATGGTCCTCAACTACCTAGTTTGACGTGTGCTGCAGGTGAGTCAAATCTACGTATCTCATCTCAGATATTCAGAGCCTTGAAGGGATGTATCAAAATCCAAAATCACATTTTGATTTGGTAAGGAAAAACACTTCACTGCTGTCACTCGGGGTTGGTATCTGTGAGGTTTGTTCTGGTTTGCTTTTTACTTGTGTATCTTGGGGGAGGAAGAGGATGTCAACACTACTGGCGTTGTCCCTTCCCTGCTAAATTTAATTCTGTTTGGGGCTTGATCCTCATTCCCCCAGCATCTCCACCAGGTGATGCTGAGCTGCCCAGGAGCAGCAGCTGAGGATTGTCCCGTGGAAGGGGAATCCCCTGTGGCACCAAGCCAGTGGAGCCGGTGCGTGGCACTTGCCTCCCTGCCCTCCCCTGCCTCCCTGCCCTGCCCTCCCCTTCCCTGCCTGCCTTCCTGCCTACGGGCGGCACACCAGAGGTAGGAGGGGGGCACAGCCCGAACAGGCAGCGCTCTGGCAAGCCTGGAAAGGCTGAAGAGCTCTTGAGATGTGTCTTAATTGATGTACAGCAGCCCAGTAGCTGCTTTGATTTGGGCTGGAGATTATTCTGTGCTCCTCTGTCTCTCCCCGTTTTCCACCAGGAGTTGAACTTCACGTAGCCTGGCTCTGCTGTGTGTTTGTATCACAGGGTGTCCTAACCTGGCTGAAGATCTGTCTTGTACGAAGGTAGTAAATGGCAGGTGGTGCTATCTTTATTAAAAAAAAAAGAAATAAATCAGTTCTTCAGGTTTGGTGGTCATCATAGAGCAGAAATTGCGTTGTGCCTTTGAGCCTTCAGAGCAGCTTTTTTAGCCCAAGGTATTAAGTAGAGTGTTCGTTCAAGCGTTTTGCGGCCTAGTCACATTCCAGATAGCATCTGAAATGGAAATTCATGCAACGTTTATCTCCTGCGGTAGTAACTTTGGGGGAAGCTTGTAACATGAGCGTGGAGAAAGTCATATCCTTACCATCACTGTGGAGTTAAGCATGAACAAGGGGCTCCTGCAAGACTTGGGCATTACCTTGAGCCTTGCCAAACCCACGCCTTCCCCAGCAAATGAGAGCATCATCACTCTGAAGGGCTGGCTTCTCTTAAACTTTGCTGCACAAATTGAGTGGAATAGAAGCCTAAGGAGATCCATTTCTGCTCGAGGATCCGCAAATCTGCGTGAGTTCAGATCTAGAAAACAGTACAAGAACTAGAAGGACATAACCCTTGGCAGTCTGGTTCCAGCAGACAGCGATGGTCATTCTTTGCTGTGGAGCAACGCGAGGCTTGGCATGGACCATGCAGGCTTTTGAGACTAAAGAACTCCCGAAGACAGAAACCCAAGTGTCTTGAAGAAGTGTTTGTGCATCTGGGAGAGAAAAAAACTGTCTCTACTTTCAGAAATATTTTGGACTTTGCTTCCACTTACCACAACAAGCTTCCCTTGCTCTCCGCTCCCTTCTTTCCACAACTCTGCCCTCCTCCAAGTGAAGTTTCCATTGGGTTAAGAGGTATGAAGGACTTCTCTCAGTGCTCCCCTGGATCATTTGGTTGGGAGCAGTGCAAGACTGAGTTAACACCCTCGTCTTTACCTGCTTTTTTCGATAAAAATGCCGCATAGTGGGATATTCCTGGCCTAGGGGTACCATATGCGACGTACACTTCAAAAGCATCTGGTCCATTGTGCTGAAAATAAGATGTTACAGCCTTGCTGTTCCTGCTTGTAAAGCCAGCAGAATGGTATTTGTACTTGTAAATTTGCCTTTTATCTTTTGAAATTACATTCACAGCTGTGTCCTTCTGTCACCTTGTTAAGCCTTCAGTTACAGACTGGGATCTGGGAACTTAGTCCCAAGTTCATGGAGCTCCCTGTCCATGGGTTGTAGGCTTTCTGAAGTGGAGACTTTGCCTTTTTACCTGGAAATGTAGATGAAAGGTTTAGGTGATAACATCTGCGGCTTAATGGTTGTCTGTGTGTAATTATATTCTGCTGATTGTGTGTGTGTGTTGATAACTTGAGTATGGTCCCTTCCAGAGCAGCAGCCTGCGCTGGGAAAGCGAGGCAGGGGATGGTCTGCTGGGTAACGTGCACGGCGCGTCCCGGATGGTACTTGCGGTGATCGCCATGAAACTGGTGGCGGCTGACACGTTGTTGCCTGTACTTACCCTAGGAATAGGTTGGAGCCTCGCAGTACACCCCATGGCTATATTAAGGATGTCGTATATGCAGTTGGGAACACAGCTTAATGCTGTAACCATACTAGGAAACAGATAAGAGTCCCTGGTTATCAAGCAGGCAGTAATGTAGAGCGTGACGTCATGAAGAGATATAAGGGATGCAGTAATCCACAGTTAACAGCGCAGCGTGCGTTAACAGAGATGTGATGTCATGTGCTGAAAGCGTCTGGGACTATCAGAAATAGAAACCGGGATGACCACAGGAGAACAGGCCCAAGGTGCGTGGTCTGAAGAGTTTGTTGGAGAAGCAGCGATCTACTTGCTTACATGTGCCTGCTGAAAACTGAGGACCGCTACCAGCAAACCACAGAGCAACGCTCGTGCAGAAGTACGCGGCCAGCCAGGAAGCACCTGTTCGAACAGATGGCACCCACTGAATGGGGGAGAGAGGCAGCAGAGCCCCGAAACCCCCGGGAACGCAGCGGCCGGGGCAGAACGGCCGGCTGGGCAAGAAACGCTTGGCAGTTGAAGCTGTACGATGTGGAGTATCCCAACCCAAGCACCTGATGGTGCCTTATCATAAATGCTATCGAAGACGTGGTTATGTTTTACGGGAACCAACCTAACCACCTGCTTGTTAGGTTTTCTGCTAGACCTTCACCTGCGGGTGCTCTCTTAGCTGCTTGGGTAAGTATTGCGGGGTTGTTTATGGTGGTTGGTTACCTATGGCATGTTGCTCTTCCACTGTTTCTCACTGTGTAGCAGGTTTTTGGGAGAGGGAGGAAAGATAAGTACAGCTGGTGTGGTCTGTCTTGTATTAGTACTTACTCCAATTAGTGCCTTGATTTGCCTATGCGTTGTGGCGTAGACGCTGATAGGGTTGACCGTCTACAGCTTCTGCGAGTCAGATCTTGTCTTTGATGCAACTAAACACAAATTAGCTGAGGACACTTATTCCCTTAGCCTTAGCCTTAGCCTGTCTCTCCAAATGTTCTCAGGTTTTCCTCCCTAATTCTGACTGTTCATCTACGTGTCTGTAGTACTACAGACTGCAGCGTGGTACCACTGAATTGGTTCAGACCAGCTGAGGCCCGCTCGTCTCATTCAGGTATATAACAAGACTCAGACAGGGTGCTTGCCCAGGCTACTCGCATCAGGCAAACGTTTATTCTGTGTTTTGGTGACAGAATATGAGTATAGAGATGTAAAAATTGTCATGTTACTGTGTGTTTTCAGGGAAGTTCGGTGGATGTTTGGAGAGTGATTCAGGAGCTGGAATTTTCCTTCAGATTACAAAGCCTTCTGAAAAACAAGTGAGGAATAGGTTTTTTAGTCCTTCTGTCATACTTTTGTGGTAGTGAGCTGTTTGAGACGGAATGTAGCTTTACTAAGGTCACCTTTCCACTTCTCCCTCGCTGTATCCTGACACAGTTAAGTCAAGGCTGTAGTGTGCCTGGATGAGGCCCAGCATCCTCCCAAGGGGGCTAAGGTTTGAGAGGAGACCTCTGTGCGGCAGCCAGCGCCTTGGAAAAGTGCCTCGTTAATAACCCGGAGGGGCCGTGGAGAGCAGTGCCCTGTCCCGGGGTGGGGGGACGGCGCTGCCTCCCCAGGTAACTGCAAAACGGCGAGTTCTTGAGGAGGAGATGGCAAGTCGGAGTGGAAGGGGAGGAGAAGCGGGATGTGGAGGGCTGCAGGCTGAGAGGCTATGGGCAAAGAGCTGCAGGTAATTTTAATACTTGTAAAAACTATAAGCTGGTGGTAGTTTCTATTGCTTGTAGTGTACGTGAGAGAATTGGGTACGATGCAGCAGTGAGTGCGCATGTGGCAGTGAGGTTGGGAGAAGCCCCACAAGGCCAATTCATCCTCCTTTTGCACACGTGTGTTTTCTACAGAATTCTTAAATCTCTTAGAACATAAAGCCATCTTAATTTTGACTTGAATTTAGTTTTGTGGAGTCACATTCTTTCAGAAGCGATTCAGTGCGTTCGTATACCTCTGACCACATAAGCACTGAAATTACGTTGCTGCGGTTGCACTTCTGGAGCATTAGGAGCCTGTGCTCTGCTCTTCGATTCCTTTCTACCACTTGCAAACCTGGCTGGTTTTATTCAATGATAGCTTCCCCGTGGAGTTGTTCTGACTCTACCTTTCCCAGTATCTTGGTACTGGGCACAGCGAAGAAGAGAGCATTGCGGTTCTGTATCGAAGCTTTCTGAAAAGCAGAGGGCAAACAGCAGTCTTGCCCTAAAAAGAGCAAACTAAAAGTAGAAGCCGGTTGGCTCTTCTGCCACCATATTAAAGGGTTTTTCTTCTGCATCCATGGCTATTTCCAGCTCCCCTCGCATCTGTTCTCTACCCCCAAGGAAGCTTTGTCCAATTCCCCGTTCGCCTCTTCTCCATCCCTCCCTTGGGGTGGATGAAGGGCTGTCCCACCTCCTGGGCGGGGGGGTTGAGAGCAGATGTCGCTTCTTTCTCAGCGTGAGGTTTAGGTGCTGTTTTGCTCTGTGCCTTTGGTCGCTGTGCAGCTCAAAGCCCGAGCTGACCCTAAATGTGCTGGCTGCTGCAAGCATCTTCCCTCCTGCCTTGCTTCATGCTCCTGTGTGTGCTCTCACAAACTTCCTTTGCAAAGAGGGTAAGGCAAAAGATGACCTCCAGGCTCTCCAGCCATACACCAGCGTGCCATGGTCCGCACCACAGCACTTTCCTTTGCCCTCCTGGCTGTGGAACGTGTCCATAGGTGGGTGCTGTCTGGGGTGAGCCACCTCGCTGGCCGAGGGAGATAACGGGGCAGGCGAGCAAGGACACAGATAGGAGGGAGTGTAGCTGCTGTCAGTCTGGGGTGGGGCTTCCTTTATTGTACTTTTTTTTTTTTACTTTTTTTTTTTTTTTTTGGCGGGAGCTCTGTGTGTGTGTGAAGCAGATGACTGAGAAAACTGTGTGTTTGTCCCCAAACTGATCTCACTGGAGGATCCTGATACTTAAATACTGTCACAGTAAGAAGATAGGCGTGTTTGCCTTTAAAATGGATTTCCCGCTGTCCAAATTTCAGAGCAAAGAGGGGTCTTTGTAGTTTGTTTGTTGAGTTTTGGGCTCCCCCCCCAGTGGAACAGATGTATGTGGGATCAGGAGCATTTGACTCGATCTTTGGTTTCTTCTAACCAGCCTAAAAGTCTTCTGGAAGACTTTTGTGTAGTCATTCCCTATCATAATTCTTCTAGGAAAATTGTAGAGTCTTGGAAAATGTATTTCCTGTCTAACGCTGATCCTCCTACTCTCAATGAATCACTTGTACTCTCATGTTGCTTTGGGCTGGCTTCCCTATTGACTTCAGCCTGGGATTTAATTAGAAATCTAGGGATGTTATTTGGAGCTATAAAACTACATAGGATTCTTCTCTGTGCAGCGGGATTACAGTAATAAAAAAAAATTAAGAAAATTAAATATTTGCATATTAACTGTCCTTGGTGTGAACTGAAGAGTTGCTTCCTGTTTCTGCATACACTGCTCTTGCAGGTTCCTTTTATCCCATCCTCAGCGTAAAGCAGCACAGCCTCCCTTTCCAAAACCAAACCTCATGCACGGGATGGGGTGTGCAGTGCATGCAAAGGATGGGTTTTCCTAGGTGTTTTATAGGGGAGAAATAACCCCCAGAAATTCTCTGTCCTGGATGTTCCCCGCAGGGGTTGACCCTTCCTGGGAGTCCCAGTCCTTGGTGGCAAAGCTTCCCCAGTGCCCAGGAAAACCCATGCTAGCTACTAAGGGACTTGAGTCCCGCAAGGCTGACCTGCCTTTAGGGTGAAAAGGAGCAGTTTTATTCAAGGTGGAGCGTATTTAGCATCTCTTTTGCATTGATGCTCTTGTTTTGTACCTGCTGAAGATAGCACCTGCAGAAAGAGCAGTGCCCTGTTTAAAACCACCAAGAAAACCCTGTGGGCTGTAACTTGCTGTACGTGCCAGCGGGGCTGCCCAGCTCTGGCTGTCGGGCAGGTCTGCGCTGCTCGGGCCCCTGGGTACGTTATCTCTGCCTCTCCCTTCGAGCCTCCCTGCTGCAACGGGGCGAGGGAGATAAGGGGTACGCTGCTTGCGGCAGCAGCTCTGCTCGCTGCACCTCCCCTGCCAGCATCGTCTGACACATCCCTTGCAATTCCCCTAGAAAGGAGTTGCCTCCGTGGAGAAGATCTTCCCCTAAAGTACCATCACGCTACTCTGATGAGGAGGGGCGAAGGTGGACCTGATTTAGTAGTGCCTGCTTCAGGTTTCAGGAGTCTCTGAGCAGACGGCGATGTCTCCACGCTTGAAAAGCTCCAATAACGTTTGAATGCGGAGAAAAGCTATTTTAACAACTGATGATAGCTTGTAACAGCACACGGCTTGTATGGAGTGTCAAAGTTGTAGGTTAGTTTAAAAATAAGTAGATTGCCTTCATGTTTTTTAGAGTGCTTGTTGTTTGCGTTTACTAAAGACGGTGCTAATTCTAACAAGCCAAATCAGTTAAGCCAGGATTAATGTTTTTGAACTGTGTACATTGTTTACATTTACCGAGGTGGGCAGTTGAAGCAAAGCCAAATGTCTGTGTTTCTGAAACACCTAACCATGCGAGCTAAAGTAGGGATCAGATGCTGAAAATAAACTTTCATATACTCCCCACTTTACTGGAATACCTTTCATTTTTGCCTGATCCTTAACTTGTGAGTGAAATCATTATCCTCCACGCAGAACGCCTTATACACATCTTGCATTGTTCTTTTTCCAGGTTAAAGAACTGGTTCTTGACAACTGTAGGTCATACGAAGGCAAAATCGAAGGCCTCACAGATGAGTTTGAAGAGCTGGAATTCTTAAGTACAATCAACGTAGGCTTAACCTCAGTTGCAAACTTACCAAAGTTAAACAAACTTAAGAAGGTAAATACAATGTCCTGTGCCATATCCCTCCCTCTGTGCACTATACTGAATGTAAAATAGTCATTTGTCTGAAAACGTAATTTAGCTGGCGAAACTGCTTTGTGATACGTGTTTGCACTAAAAACTCAAGATGTTTACGTGCCTTCTAGCTCGAGCTAAGCGACAACAGAATCTCAGGAGGACTGGAAGTGTTGGCAGAAAAGTGTCCGAACCTCACGCATCTAAATCTAAGCGGCAACAAAATAAAAGACCTCGGTACAATAGAACCGCTGGTAAGTTGATGCGGTACAGGGTGAAACCAAACCCTGCTTTGTGATGAGTAGAGGTATTTCAGGCTTGGAAAGTCCAAAGCAACTTGGAGAGGAGTGTCTCGGGTGCTTATCTGTCAGGCCAGGTTGCAGAGGGGCTCGGGCTGTGCCCCGGGCTGTGCCCCGGGCTGTGCCCCAGGCTGTGCCTGCAGTGTGAGCAGCTGCTTCCCTCTAGCGGCTGCTGCTCCAGGGTCGGGCTCTCCCCGCGGGTGCTGCGGGGAGCCCAGCGGCTTTCCGCCCTGGCCTGGGCCG